TACACGGTTCAGGAATTCTGAGTCTAGGAGCATACTCGTGTGCGGGAGCTTGCCCATTGCCCACCGCACGTTGGAGTACTCGCAATTGAGCTCTCAACGCTTCCATTTCATCCTGCAGATCAGGAATGATTGCAGCAGCTTCCGTCATTACTGCGCAAGCTCTTTGGCTTTCATCCAATTGGATGTGTAATCCACGAATCTCAGATTCGGCCATCTCGACTTTTTCCTCGAGACCTTCCACAGCATAGCACAACCTAGTAGCTGTCTCATCAAGCGCATCCACGCGCTGTTTCGTAGTACCCTTCTTGTGAGGCTCTACCACTTCAGTGGTGTGTGATGTAATTGGATCCATAGCTTTCTTATCGAGGGTCTTGAGCCGCAGCTCTGATACCAACTTTCACGGGGTGCCTTTCTTCTTGGCACAGAAAGGGACACCGTGCGACAGTAGTCTGCTCCGCTAGACTACCTTCCGCCTTTTCTCGGTCGCGTCGGGACGAAAGAAAATTTGATTGCAATTTTGTAGAAAGCTTACAATTGAGAATTTGAATACATTGAAAGTAAATTGAACATTGATTGCTGAAAACTGAACATTACAATTGATGAAAGCAGAAAATTACAAATGCTGGTGCAGGGGGCGGACACCAGTGAGCTTGAAAGACTTTTGAATGACTAATACCCCCTATAATAGCATTCTGAACAAAAACCCAAGTGACGGGAGTAGACGTTTAAAAGACGAGGAATCATACTAATCTTTTACCAATATCAGAGCTATTTTACAATTAAAATAACTATTACAATGAAATGAAAATTACAACTCAAACTTGAAGTAATATTTACAATGTGCGGCCGAAGTTGGGCAAACTGCGGCTGCGATAGTGTCAAGGGGCTAAGTAAAGCTGCGGTCCTTGACACCCTGTGTTGATAAACAGGACTCGGCAGAGATTATTTCGATGAAGAAAATTAAAAATCGGCTATAAAACTGGTCCCGGTAGTGCTTCAAAATGAACTATATTGTAAACCAAGAAAATCCCAGCTATTAAGCGGAATCATTAACCAAAACTGATTGAACCGGTGACTTGTTTTGGCGATTTGGACACTTGGATATCCAAAAGTTTGTAACGGTTAATTCGGCCAACTTATAATTGGTCACTAACTCTAGAACATTCAGTAACCCAACTTTGGTAGGTAAAGGACTTGGTTTGGCAGCTAATAATTATAAAAAACTAGTAGATTTGCAACCTTTTGCAGCTAAACTATGGTCGGTAAAAAGCATCAATTAAAACTATTGTCAATTTTTAGCACCCGATATTTGTTCAATGAAGGTACAACATTAATGACCATATATTAGGGTTGGTAACGGGACGGGTTTGGGGAGGGGCGGGATCCCCACCTTGCCGGGCATTTTCTTGTCCTGTACCCACCCCATTACTTGTTTGAGGCAGGGCGGGATGGGTTTGGGTGATTGTTCCGTTTACATACCCGTTTAATTTTATTTTATTTTATTTCTTGATAATTTATTTTATTGCCTCAATTCATTTAAGTGAGGCAATTTTTTAATTAAGTAATTTATTTTTAAAAGTTAAATTATTCAAATATATTTGGTAAACTAAAGTTTTTATTATTTAAAATATTCCTTAGATAATCTTAGTCGCCATCTTCTATTATAATTAATGAAATTTCATGGAGTTTTTCCATTTAAAATATTGAATTCTTTATAAAATAAAAATAAAATTAAACGGGGCGGAGCCTTTTAACCCATACATGCCTTGGGGGGAATTCCCCACTCCATGCTCGACCCATGAAGCGGATAATCCCTGCCCGGTTCGAGATGGGACCCTAGGAGTATCGAGTTTAACGAGTATTTTTGCTATCCCTATCAACTATTGGTCTATGAAGAATAGTTGGTAAAAATAGTACCTATCACAAACCAATCATTGGTCAATGAATGGACAATTTTTTATCTTTTTAATCTTTTAAAAACCAAAATTTTATTGCAGAAAGATATTTACCAACCAAAATCCATTTCTGTCAAATTTTAAATAAAAACCATTAAAGACATTTAACAATTAATATTTGGTCGCTGCTAATAATTTGACTAATTGATTAGTTGAATTTTCAACAACCACAAGTTAGTTGCTATAACTAATTAGTTGTTTTAAATTAATAAATATAAAAAAATGCACAGGAGAAAATAACAAAAAACAATAGTAGCTACAAAATGATAATTGTCATTGCCAATATAACAATTACTAATAAAATTTAATAAGAGAAAACGAAAAAATGATCAACTGGAAAGAATAAAATCACGGAAATTTATTTCATCTTACTAGCCTTGGCAACATCACCAGCATTCATCTGCAAAAAAACACCAATTAAGTATTATTAACGCAAGACTAGTGCAAATAACTTCTTAATAGATTGATCAAAGTTACGTAGAACTGGAAAGGTAGAAAAAGTTGCATTCCCCTACTTGGTAAGTGAAGATTAAGGTTAATTAGGCCAAGCACTATGGCATGGCCCTCATAAAGAAAAGAATGTTTTCCTCAGTTTGGTTGGGATTAAAATCAGATTTTTAGTATATTTTGATAAAAGTAGATAAAGTGTGTTGTTGAAAAGTCGTAGATCCTATGAAATATGTGGTTAAAATTATTTGTTAATTTTGACTTCGACTAAAATCTGGATTTCAATAACGGGGCATCTTCAATCCGCCCTATCTTGTTGATCCAAACCAAAATGTTGTCATCCCCAAAGAAACCATCCTTGCCCGTAACCCAGTTAGGTTGTGCATATTCCTTATTTATCGGGGATTCTGGAACTCTCCCAAAATCCTCTATCTAGCAAGCTTCATAGCCTCGGCTATGTCGAAGAAGGCTTAGAAAATTTAGATAATGTATAATCTATAATGGGTCTTCACATCATGAATTATTTGTTCCATTACCAAGCAAATTGTCCAAGTACTGTGTAGGGTACGCTTGATCCAAGAACTCTTTGCTAGTGCCCGAATATGGGAATGCAACACAGATTTTTCATGAGTTAAGGCGTGTGCTTTTTTGCTATTTTTCATCTTCCATGGATAATTGCTTCTGTTTGTGCACCGGAGTTTGCATGAATTAGTTCAGTTGCTGCCTTTCAAGAGTCTCTTGTTGTTAGCTGGGTACGCATTTACTTTTATTCTATAATTTGCATTTTTTTTATGACTCAAGTGTCCGAGTTTCGTTTCACTAATCCTAAGGAGTAATGGTCTTCTCCCTGGTTCGTCATTCGGGTAAATCAGGATACGGTCACAACTTATACACATTTGGATCGGACATTCGGAATGCAGTTCTCTTTCCTGTGACCTCTCTTTACGACTTGCAAACAAGACCTCCGGAGGAGCAACAAAGCGACCATAACTTTGCCTCTATAGGATATCTGCTTTCCAATATAAATGTTGCCTTCCGGCTGTCGCGGGAATTTGAATTTCGATGCTACATAGAGAACCCTGTTAGGGGATACGTAATCCCACATCGGTTTAATACCGAAATAAATATCAATTTATAGAGATCTTGAGTTTCTCCACTTAATAAGGTTGACCTTATTAAGATGGACCTCAAGTCTTAACAAACCCTCCTGCTTTATCGTTGTGCTATGCCCGTGAGGACTACAATTTCAGTACAAGAAATATATACTTTCCCTACAAAAATTCTTGAGACATTGAGATTTGTGGGCGGAGTTCACTTTTCCCTACAAAAAAATATTTCGTAGGACTATGATTTGATTCAAAATTTTTAATATTGGAATGACTCATGCCCACAAAAAATTATATTTTTTCCCCGATAATAAAATTTAAAGGGCAAGATATATATTTAGCCTACAAAAATATCAAAAGTATTTGTAGGCTAATAATTAAAGAAAAAATCTCAATTACTATTTTTAATTTTAATCCCCACAAAATTTATATTTAAAGTTAAAAGATAAGTAAAATGAAAAAGAAAAATTACTTTTTTGAAAAACAAAATCCAAAAATTAAAAACCCTCAACACCTACGTAATATACCACTTTCTCATTTGCCTCCAAGGTTTTCCCCAAAATTTGTCATTCCCTCTTTAAAGTTTGCTGTCATCTACTCTCCTTTGCCTCAAAAAAAAATTTCCCAAAATTATTCATTCCCTCCCTTTGTTTCATCTGATTGATTGGCCCAAACCTAGTTCAAATTCTTCAGCTCATGCAAATTTCAGCTTCATCTACAGATGTATGTGATATTCTTCAATCTGTCTTCCAGGTATGCCCATTCCAAGATTATATCAAATATTAAAGTTTGTAGTTTATTCCATTTATATATGTCATTGTCCATAGGGTTAGCAATTAAATTCCTCCTCCTCTTGGTATTTGCGTTCAATATTGATTTTGACAAAGGGTTTTCCATGGAATTCTTATGTGGTCTGTCGTTGGATGAAAACCAGCCAATTTCAAAGCGATTTAGAGCTCAAGCTACATATAGTTTGGGTTGGATGCAAAAACATATTTAAATTGTTAATCATCTAATCATGCTCAAGGATAAGGAATTTAAATTAGATTCTATTTTGCTTTAAGTGTTTTTTGGTACAAGCAGTCGGATTAGTTTTTCTTGCATTTGTATCACTTGTACTATGAGGTTTATGTTGGTCAATATTAACATCTTGTTAGGTGGTGAATGACTGAATGTTAGCGAGAAATTCTTTGTCAATGGCGTTGAATATTGAAGAATAGTTAATGATTAGTCAATACGGTATGTTGGTAGCCCTCCTTTTGCTGCTGGTGATTAATGCATTTGTGTTATGAAATTCTTTCTCTCCTTCCGCTATTTTGTTTCCTGTTTCCATTGCTTGCTCTTATGCTATGAAGTGTAGTGCTGGTATTTGCTTGCTCTTATGCTATGAAAGTGTAGAGCATTATTAGATGATTAACAAATTTAAATTCCCCTGCCCTCAACTCCCTCATTAAAGCAATGACGAATGATTCAAGCCTGCTGGAATATGAGGCTTCATATAGGTTGGGTTGGATGCAAAAACCTGATGCTATCCCTGCATTAAAAACTGTTGTAGATAATCTTTGCTTGCATCCCATTGTTCGCCTAAAGGCTGCTGAATCTCTTGGTGCATTTGGTTTAGAGACAAGTATTCCAGTTTTGGAGACTAGTTTCCAATCGGATCAATCTCAAGAAGTTCGAGATACATGTGAACAAGCTCATACAGAATTTATCTTTAGAACACGTTTTGGTTAAAATTTTCCCTTTAATTTGTATGGATGATTGGAATGAGGTTTTACTTTATATTGATTTTTCTATATACAATCAATTGTACATGTCCATTGCCAATTTGATTGGAGAAGTTGTTATAACCATACTGAAGGAATATGTTACGGTTCACTGAAGGCATGTATAAAGCATGGCTTTTCTACTTGCAGGCATAATGAATTTTAATTTCTTCAGTTAATATGTGTATTCTGTTATGGTTTTATGTAATTTGATTGGCTGCACTAAGTGTCTTCCTATTGAACCCATGCTAAAGGTTATTGTAAACTCTATTAATTAAGAGATTTGTTATGAGGCACTGTGCACCAATTTTTGAGGCACTTAAATTTTGAAATTTTGCATTGTGCACCAATTTAAGTAACTGAATTAGATGTAGAACATGAGAAAAATTTGTGTAACTTTTCTTGTCAATTTAACATCCTTTTTAAGGCATAAGAATTTAGTGCACTGTTTTGTTTATAAATCCCATTTTTATTTACTAGATATGGGTGCATTAATTATGGGTTGAATATACTGTGACTTGTGAATTCTTGATTTGCATTCTTTCAAATATCAATGATTTTCCCATAGGCTATAATTGTTAAAGTTTACAAGCTAAATACGTTGTGACTAATTATTACTGATTATTAGTTAAAATATCTTGTAGGGGTTGTAGAAAGAGTTTTGAATAGCAGAGCTTCCTACAATTCAAATTGCAGCAAGGTAAGTTCGTAAATGGAAGACATGGGGACTTATGCGTACAAATTAGAGTATGATGAATGCATCTTTAATATCTCATGTATGGTTGTGCTATATTTCTTGCATATTTTGATTTTTGTGGACTGTTTTATATCTCTTGTGGATTGTGTTTGTAGGATGAGATGGGGACTGGTGCATCCAAACTTTAAAATGCATGTTACTGAATGATTTCATATATAGTCAAGATTTACACAAGACTCAATATTTTTTACCATGTCAACTACCTTCCAATGTATGCAACACAAAGAAAGAGTTAGAAGCAAAATGTGCTACTCGAAAGGTAGAATATGCAGCTCGACTGAAGATGGAGCAAATGATATAAAACAAGCCGAAGGTAGTTGAGCAACAATTCAATTATACGTTGTGAGAACTAGCAGCATATCTATTACACGAGGATTAAGAGTTTTGTTTTTTTTAGATGCGTAGTAATAGATATAGATCATTTTTTCTACTGTTTTTAAGTTTAGATGTAACCATACTTAGGGAATAACGTTTATTTCAGTTTTGGTGTAATATATTTGGATTCAAGTTTACATTGATTGACACTACATGTCTTAATTAATTTATTATCTTTTTGCATTTTTATGTTACTTTGAATAAGGTTATTAAAATTAATAAAATATCATTAATAAATAATTTAATTTCTTCCTACAAATTATTTTATTGTTAAGACAAATAATATGCTTTCCCCACAAAAAATTATTTGTCAAGAAAAGCATGGCTTAGTCCTCAAACTAATATGTACAATATTGTCACAATTTTTAATTGTAGGGGAAAATATGTATATTTTATCCCATAAATATGCTTTTCACACAAAAATTTAATTGTAGGGAAAAACTAGATTTAGCCCACAACATAATTTTTAGTGAAACGTGATATCGTTTTGTGGGCTAAAAGTAACTTTAGTAGATGAATGGTTTTACCGAGAGAAAACTTACACGACATATTGTATTTGTCTCCAAAGGATTCGTAGGGAAAAATCTTTCCCCACAAATTTCAAAATTTTGTGGGCTAAGGTCTTCCCCCTCGATGTTTGCCACACAAATGTGCCAAAAAAATAAATTTTGTCTGCAAAGAAATTTCCCCACAAATAAGAACCTTTCCCTACAAGATTTATTTGTAGGAAAAACATAAAATTCTTGTAGCGTTTGTATTGTTTATTTTGATTGTGGTTGAACTTTTTACACATGCAATAGCTACAAGTACAAGGCAAATATTTAAAAATGGGATAGATTTTCTGTCGCATGCAATGCGTTACAAATATTAACTTGCTGATTCTCGTTCCCAACGATACTCATCGAGTAAAATCTCATTTCTTGCATTTTCTTCAAAATCTCTGATACTTGAGTTGGGAATACTTAAAGTTTTTAAAAAACACTTACCATCGTCTGTCTTTGTATATAATTTGGGGAAAAAAAAAAAAGAAAAAAAAAAGAAGGATGCATTAACAACAATGGAAGGAAAACAGGAAAATAACACATGGAAATTGGAATGGAAATTTACGTAACTGTGTAATCTGAATTGTTGCACTATAAAATATGAATTACAACGAGCTTCATAAATAGTCAAACGCCTGGAAAGATCTGAAAACGTGTATAAACCACTAAGGAATATAAACATCAATAACTATAAAAAAAAATCACAAGTACTTACTTAATAACCTTCAGATTAATAAGACCCCCACTAACTCACACATTAATTCAAGCATGAACTTTAATGCAAATAAATGATATTCAAGCATTATATAATCACGTCTTCGTGTCCTAAATTCTCATCATCAAGGCTATCTTTTCCTTGCATATTGAGATGACTTCCAAATTTGTTCTCTTGGTTCTTCTTGGTGTTCTTATTTGCACCACCACTGCGAGAAAGTTAGTTGGCTCAGACGGTTCTTTTGATGATGCAAAATTCATTTTTGATCATTTAGGAGGTGGCGGTGGTGGTGGAGGTGGTGGTGGAGGTGGAGGAGGAGGAACAGGGGGTGGTTTTGGTTTCGGAGAAGGATTTGGTGGTGGGTTTGGAGGTGGTGCTCAAGGAGGAGGAGGAGGTTTTGGTGGCGGAGGCGGTGGCGGAGGTGGAGGCGGATTGGGTGGAGGATCTGGTAGTGGATTTGGATTTGGTGCAGGATACGGTGGTGGGATAGCACAAGCAGCCGCAGAAGAATTCATGGTGTAATTAATAAAGTTTCAGTCTGATGCATTTCTTCAAACCTAATGATTATTTTCATGGCACAACCAAAATAAACTACTTGATTGCAGATCTTTGATCTTGTACTCAAATTTATTCAGAAAGCAAATTTTAGTAGTGTAAAATATAATATTTTTAAAGTGAACAATTTATTGGAGCACGTTAATACCATAAATTCTAAGTGTATAAGTTCGTCCAATGCTTAGTCCTAAATTAACAAGTCACTAGACTCTGACTCTCAATTCAGATTCGACTTTGACATGTGAAATTTGGAGTTGACTTTGATTGTTTCATGAAAGATTTTAGGTGTGCCGAATTATTTGTATTTATATTTTCGTAGGCCTTAGACACAAATTAAATAGCGCTAAATTGAGCAAAAAAACATGCTTGAGCGTTCAAAATCAGCTAGTAACTATAAAAGTTGATACCCTCAAGTCAAATTGTGCACAAATCTTTTTTCTTCATAAAGATTTTTAGTGAAGTATTAAAATAAATGAAAACGCAAAAAAAAAAAAAATAATAATAAATAAAACATTTTGGAAGTAAATTGTCATGGCTACGAATTTGTCTTCAAACATTTTGCACAAATTTCCTTGTACATTAGTAGTGCATTCAACCAAATTTTGATGAGTTTTACGGAAAAAAGTAAAAGTTTTTTGAGGAGTTGATATGTCATGGTGAGTTCAGATCAAGCAAAGATGAAAACTCACATAGGAACAACGAAAACCTGTGTTGATAAAACAGGGCTCAACGGAGATTAATTAGTTCGACTAAGAAAATTGAAAATCGGCTATAAAACTGGTCCAGGTAGTGCTTCAAAATGAACTATATTGTAAACCAAGAAACTCCCAGCTATTAAACCGAATCATTAACCAAAACTGATTGAACCGGTGACTTGTTTTGGCGATTTGGACACTTGGATATTCAAAAGTTTGTAACGGTTCATTAGGCCAAGCACTATAGTGTAGCACTCATTAAGAAAAGTACGTTTTATCTAAATGAATATCAATAACACGGCATCTTCAATCCATCTTCTTCCATTGATCCAAACTAAAATATTGTTATTCCCTAAGAACCCATCCATGTCCCTTTACCCAGATAGTTATAGCATGTTTCCAATTCGTGGGGGATTATGGAACTCTCCCAAAATCTTCCACCTAACTCATGCGTGAAAAGCTTGTAGTCGTGGTTCTGTCGACAAATTAAGACAACGAAAATTCAAAAAATGTATAATCTATAATGTGATTTTTGGAAATAAGTGATGGATAAGTGGTTAGTTCTTGAAGGTCCTAAGTAATGCATGTTAAAATTAATTTTTAACTTTAAAAATTAACTTTTTTAGTAGAAAAAATTGAATTCCTAACGAAGGCTATTATAATGATGGTCAGGTTATGATCTTAATACACATTAACAGTGTTAACTACACAAAATAAGAAAAAAAATATTAATCTGTTATTACTTCAAAAGTACCTTTTCTGTGAACACTGCATCTTAGGCAAACATTGTAGACTCCACTTTAATGATGGAAAACACAAGACTACTTCCATTTTTTAGAATATTCCTTCATCTACTGTCACTCAATGGGGAGATAAATATTTCCTGTTCTTGATTGATGAATTTTCAAGAAAAATAGGGATTTATTTTTATTAAAGCAAAAATCTTAAAACTTTGAATAGTTTAAAACTTGAAAAACTTTGATTCAAAATTAGATTGGTAAGAAAATTAAAATCTTTATAACTGATAATGGCTTAAAATTCTGCAAGACGTGTTGTAAAGAAAATGGAATTCTAAGATATAAAACTATCCTTAATTTATTCTCCTGAGCAAAATGGAGTAACTGAAAGAAGGAATAGAACAATTCTAGATATGGTGAGGTATATGATGATTAGTTTCGGAGCCCAGAAAGTATTGGTCACAAAAGATCTTCAGTGGCCAAAAAACCATGGTTGCTAGTTGGTCGCTAATTCGCAATCGTTGTATGTCTTTATCGGCCAACTTATAATTGGCTGCTAACTCTAGAACATTCAGCAACCTAACTTTGGTCGTTAAAGGACTCTGTTTGGCAGCTAATAATTGTAAACAATTGGTAGATTTACACCCTTTTGCAACTAAACTATGGTCGGTAAAAAGCATCAATTAAAACTATTGTAATTTTCTAGCAACCAATATTTGTTCGATGAAGGTACACCATTAGTGACCATATATTATGGTTGGTAACGAGGCGGGGCAATTGCCCAGTTTACGTACTAGTTTATTATTATTATTTTTTTTTAAGTTCTTGATAATTCATTTTACTCCCCCATTCATTCAAGTGAGATAATAATATAGTAATTAAATTTTTTAATTAATTTATTTATTTTTAAAAGTTAAATTATTTGAATATATTTGATAAACTAAGGTTTTTATTGTTTATCATATTCCTTAAATAATCTTTGTTGTCATCTTCTATTAGAATTAATGAAAGTTCATGGAATTTTTCATTTAAAGTATTGAATTCTTTATAAAAATAAAAAATAAAAAAATTAAACGAGGTGGGGACGGAGTGGGCCCCATGTTACCCGTACCTACCTCGTGGGAATTCGCCACTCCATACCTGACCCGATTAAGTGGCTAATCCCAGCTCCGTTCGTGGTGAGGCTTGCGGATATCGGGTTTGACGGATATTTTTGTCATCCCTACCAAATTTTGGTTTATGAAGAATTGTTGGTAAAAATAGTACCTATCGCAAACCAAACATTGGTCGATGAATGGATAATTTTTTATTTATTTTAATCTTTTAACAATCAAAATTTTGTCCGGAAAGATATTTACCAACCAAAATCCATTTGTGAAATGTTAAATAAAAACCATAAAAGACATTTAACAATTAATATTTGGTCGTTGCTGATATTTTGACTAATAGTTTAGTTGAATTTTCAGCAACCACAAGTTAGTTGCTATAACTAATTAGTTGTTTAAAATTAATAAATATAAAAAATGCACAGGAGAAAATAATGAAATTAACAAGAAACAATAGTAGCTACAAAATGATAATTGTCATTGCATATATAACAGTTACTAATAAAATATAATAAGAGAAAACGAAAAAAAATGATAAAGTGGAAAGCATAAAATCACGGGAACTTATTTCATCTTGCTAGCCTTGGCAATGTTGGGCGCAATAGCTCTGATACCACTTGTTGGGGTGCGGAAGCCCCAATAACACACATTGATTCCAAACCGAATTTTAAGGAACGAGATTGTATGACAATATTGAAGTATACTAGATCACACACCGAAAAAAGTTTAAAATTGTAAAGAAAGAACACAAAGGGTAAACGCAGATGAACGAAATTTATTAA